TTATAAACACTTTTAAAGATTTTTGTACTAATAAAATGTGATATGTTAGCATTTAAAAATAAATGTTACTTACTTTTAAATAACTCATGGTACATATACTTAACGGTAATATTATAATAAGCTAAAGAGTCTTAAGTTATTTATAGACAATATTTTGGGCGAAAGATGTTGCAATGTTAGTAGAATAAGTTTATGGTGATATTGTCCAAATTCTGTTGTATCTTTCTTAATCTTAAATTACAATTATTATTATTAAAATAATTTATAACTTACGCATTAGTTAAGCCTTGTAATTGATTACAACCATAAATTGATTTTTTGTATCAATAATATCAATAATAATTGTCATTTTAAGTAATACAGTAAAATTAGTAATTGATATTGCTACAGTATTATAAAACATTGTCACAAGTGTTTAGACACGTAAAGTACAATACAATGGAAATGTGTGGTAATATACGGTGTAGTATAGTATTAATATTGATATTAAATATAGTTATTTATATAGTTTATAGTTTTACATTAAGAATTAACATTTTTATTAACAATGCTAATTATCATTAACACAGAAGGACCTGTCTCATAATGTAATAACTATAGGTATGAGTTTGAATGCGCACGCAATTCAATTGAATTACAAATATTTTATTTGTTTGAAAAAATAGACAAATAAACGCTAAAATTGTTTTTATAGTTATAAACCATATTACATCATATTACTTTTGTTAAAATAAATGAAACATTTATGAATATTTTATACTTATAGTATATAATAGTATTGGTAACTATATTAGCTATAAGTTTAAATTAATATAGAATATAGAAATTAACTTAAAAATTACTTTTTTGATACACTTATGGACTATCAAACTAAGAATAAAACTAATTTTGGAAACGACACTGTAATCAATATGAGTGGAGAGAGTATGTATTTTATTTTTAATTCTCATATTGTAATCAATATTACACTATTTTATGCTTTTTCAATACTTGTAATTATTATTTGATTGCAAAATTTTAATTTTCCGTTATGATATCCTATTAAAATAAATGTCTTTAACTATTAATATTAAATAAACTGAATTATCTAAGAATGATCTTATGAGCAATTGTAAATTTTGCATAAATTATGTATAAGTTATAAATATTATATTATTGATTTAGTCAACTAATTTAAAGTAATCAGCAGTGTTAAGTGTAGTCTATTAAATTTAAAATTTAAAATTTTACATTTTATATAAGATATAGTGTCCCCAAACGGAATGTACACTATAAGTGCAGTACAGTATAATGTATACAATGTATATTATACACTATTTAAACCAACTTCAAACATACCGGAAAGGCTAGTGTTTAAAGAGTTTGCTTGTTCTTAGTTTAGAAACCACAAAAAAGCGAGTAAATATATGAATTTTGAATAGAAATAGTTTTATTTCCTGATATTCTATGTCTTCAAGGGGGGGGGGTGTTAGGGACATGCGAACGTAATAATTTTAACATGACTACATGCAAACAATTGCGAACAAAGGGGAGGGAGGGGGTCTAGATTTTTGAAAAAGTTTGAAAGTAATATGTGAACGACGCCTTATGCCAAAACAAAACTTTTTCAAACTATTTTGTTTTTAAATGTTTTCCCAAATAAATTGGACGTTTTATTTAGTAATTAATATAACATATTCTATGTAACTATTATATTAAAATAGCAATATTTTTTTAATTTTTAATTATTAACTTACTTTAATTCATATTATTATGACAATTTTCACCATTAAATGTGTATTGAATTATTTTAAAACTTTTTAGTGTAATTTATATTTTTCTAAAAATAAAAATAATTAATTGTTTTCGAAACAATGAGCAAAATGATGATCTGCGTTTTCATGTTTTAAAATATAATATACACAGGTATGAATCATATACACAGGTATGATGCCATTATGGAATTTCTTAATATTACCTTATTGTTAGTAGTTTAAATTAAAATTACAATATTATCTTTATACAATGTATTTTAAACATTATTGTTAAGATTTTGAATGCTTTTTTCTCTCTTATTAAATTATGTACAAATTATATTATGTTTTATGAAATTAATTATTTTTATTTAACAATAGAATTAATATTAATAAAACATGTTATAGTATATTTATTTGTTTTAAAATATAATCAGAATGGAATATACTTTTTAAATTATTTACATGTCAAATTATATGTCATTTTTATATAAATATAATAAATTATTTAATAAAGTTTTGAAGATTAATATACTGTAGTTAGAAAAATAGACTAAATTAATGAGAAAAATAATTTTTAAACATTATTTTTACGTATAATTTATTTGTTGAAATGAAATCGATTTTATTATGATATGAAACGTCAGATTTCTTTATTTTTTATAGATTTTAATTGTATTGTTAAATGTGTTGTAGAATATTCTCAATACATATTCTTGTTATTCTTGTTTCTATGGTTACGTTCACTACAAAGCACTAAAAGGAACGCATATTCTTTCAAATATTATATTGCATTACATTTCTCTATATATTTCTATTTTGATAAGCAATCGATAGATGTGTTAAATGTAATATATATTTTAATATATTATACTTCATTTGTAATCATCTTAAAAATTATACATTTAATTATATTTATTTTAAAATATCAATAGATAATCATAAATACATAAACTATTGTTTTAATTTGTAAAATTGTTTCATCAAGTTATAATCATATTTGCAAATACGTGAGGTAAGCATTTGTATTACATGACCACAATGTTTCTCCATTATTGTTTTCGAATTCAACAACAATTTTAGCCCACATGTACCACATAAATGTAATAATTATATTTTATCGTTATCACCCTATTGAATTAATTTTTTACTTTAAAAACATGATTTTAGATATCAACTATAATTTATATTGTAACTCTATTTAGATAATATAATATTTATATAGAATCTGTATTATAGTTTCACTTCACAGTCATTTTGCTTTTAATAATACATGTATGTAAATGCTTTAGGTGTTTTAACTGAAATTTTATTAATGTTTAGCATGTATTATAATTTTATATTCTACTGTATATTAACTTATAATCTTGATATAATATAAAATGCATAAAACAATTCGATGAAATTAATTGTTTATAAAAATAATGTCTAAAATGGATATATTTTGAACTTTTCTTGAAATAATATAGAAATTCAAAGAATGAAAGCCAACTAATCATATGATTCTTGACATAATATTGTGAGCAAAACAAATAACTAACAATTGGTGATAATGTCTCAAAACGAAGATTCTATGAATAATAAAATAAACTTTGCCGAAGGTGAGATCTTATATATACATATCAATATAAACTAATTTTTAATATAAGCTCTAAATAATTGTTTAATATCAACAATACGTATATTTTATAGCACTTATTGCACAAATACAGCACTTAAGGTGTTTCATAATATTTGTACAACAAATGGCCTCAATGTTGAAAAATTGTAAATAACATACATTGAGAGCTAACTGTTGATAGGAAACAAATGATGCCATTTAAACGCATACAATGAGACACTTTTACAAAAACATCATTTAGTAATTCATTAATTCTTTGTTCATTTTGCAAAAGTGTATATATGAGACACTATATGCAGAAAAGGTTACTCAAGTAGACTGACCAGATGGGTTTTGCTAAATTCTGGATTTTCATTAAAATTTTGATAATATTCCTGGACAAATTCTGGACCAAAAGTGGTCCAAACCTTGACTAATTGTGAACAGGTTTTTAAGCAATAATAAATATTTTATTCATGTTTTTAAGACAATTATAGTTTAAATCTGCCTGCACATTTTATATCTTTATATTACGTTGTTTGATTTAATGATATTTAACAAAGTCACAATAAACTTAATCACAATTTAATTACAATCCACAGATGTTTTACAAAATATATATTGATTATCTCCGTCGAAGTCTAGCGTTCTTTCCGTGAAATTTAAACCAGAATATTTAAATTTATCCAAAATATTCACATTTTTGTTAATTATTCAATGAAATCCAATGGAAAAAGTTAACATGATAATAAAATTACAGAGAAAAGTATGATTATGCAAAACTAAATATTATAATGAATCATTAGCGTTCGTCACAGGGGTGAAAATAATGGGGGAAAGCAAAATTAAGGATGCGAAAATAAATTCAATATTTTTAAACTAATAATTTAGTGAAAAAGCATATATTTAAAGAAAATAAGTTATATTTATACACATAATCAACAAACAAGGTTCACATAGCGATGCTATACGTTAACCACAATTTGGGGAATGCATTAAAGATTTTAATTTTTCAATACGTTTGTTATAATGCTTTCACTGTTGTTGTTTTGAGAATTTTAAATGTTTTTACAACAAATAGTTCTATTTATTATGTCAGATTCATTTAGTATATCTCCATAAAAAAGCATTATCCCATTGAAATAACATGAATGCCATAGACTTATCATTACCCATGTTATCCTTATGCAATAGACTTAGCATTACCCATGTTATCCTTATGCCATAGACTTAGCATTGCCCATGTTAAACCTATGTTATAGACTTAAGCTGTAATCCCATAGAAACCCATGATAAACCTATGAGAACTTCCCCATGTTAAAGTATATTCATAAGATTAACATTGGATCCCATTGTAAATCCCATAGGGTGGGGAAGGGGAGTGGTGGGTGTCACGATCCCATAACATATTTTTCATATTTGAATTGTGGTTAAAAATGATTGAAACAAACAATTAAATCAATAGTTAATAAAAACATGTGTTTGTCTTTCAATATAAAAAGACAAAAAATGAATACAAAAATAAATTAAGTTATGTTTAATAAACAATTGAACGAAAACATACTTGGATTTAAAGTTATGTTTAAAAGTTTAAAGATTAGAATTGAAAAATATGTGAGATTATAGCACATTTGTGTTTTAAACTATGTATATAATCCATCTGTAATATGGCAAAAACGACCATGGTCGGTCTGTGAGGAACCTTATTAATAATGAATTAACAACTTATACATAATGGTTAATCTACAGATTTAGTATTATCTTACTACACTTACAATTTCCCGAAATAGATAAGGTTACAAATTCTTTATCTACTCTTGTAATGCTTTTCAATGCATTTGCAATCATGAGATATATATGACACACCCTTTAGATATATTGTTTGTATATATGATTGAAAACTTCTATGTTAATAATCATTAAATTATTTATTATAATAATTATTAAAATATAAATTATTTTATAAATTAGTTTATAATTTTATATATTGCTAGATTAAGATTTCACTTATAATCTTATTTTTATAATAGTATCATAAATAAAAATTTACAAATCCTAACTCTTTCCTTCTTTAAATGCAAAACAATGCCAAAACATGTAAATTAAAATTGGGTTAAAACACAATATAAGGTAACCCGAGAAGAGCAACGGTTACTGACGTTAAAATAATGCAAAAACAAAATACCGTTAATTTTGGAGGTGCGAAATCATCACTCATTTATTATAAACTTAACTTTTATAATATATAAATATTTTACAATCTTTTACAAAGTCTAGCAAAAATTGTATCATAAAATTGTTAATATATATTATAATTATAAAATTTGATTATTTTAGGAAGTGAATCAACAGATAGTGGTCAGGGTGTTTGTGGTGCAATACTGACCCTGTTATCATTAGCAGTGGCAGCATGCACATTTCCTTTCTCGTTATTTTTCTGCATTAAGGTCGTTCAGGAATATGAAAGAGCCGTCATTTTCAGATTGGTTTGTATTTCTTGCAAATTATATATTTATATCTTTATTTTGAAATTCCATATCTATTATAAAAATTTTAATTTAAAATTATTTATATAAATAATATAATATATATATATGGTATAATAGATACTGACAAATTCAATTTAAATGTTGTTTCTGGAGTTTAGTAGTAGCCTAAATATAATAGTAAAGCATGACATTAAATAATTTGTGATGTATGCTGCTTTTATATACAACGTAGTATACTATGAAATTGATAGTATGAATATACAATATTATGTATTTAGGGTCGTTTATTGCATGGAGGAGCAAAGGGCCCTGGTATATTCTTTATACTGCCCTGCATTGAACACTACACGAAAGTGGACTTAAGAACGCTGACATTCGATGTGCCGCCACAGGAAGTGTTGACTAAGGATTCGGTGACAGTGTCTGTGGACGCTGTGGTGTACTATCGCGTACACAACGCCACTGTTTCGGTCGCTAATGTGGAGAACGCTCACCACTCGACCCGACTTCTGGCCCAAACGACTTTGAGAAATATGTTGGGAACTCATAATTTACATGAAATTCTTTCCGACAGAGAATCCATATCCAACTCAATGCAGGTTTGTATGGATTATCCTTTATTAATATCGTTCCTAATATGCCATCCATTATACTCTAACTGTAAGGCACTGTATGTTAGCCATAAGTGCAATAGATCTGTATTATCTGTATTAGTTAGTTTGTAGATATACACCAAATATCTTGTTTATTTTTATTTTATTTGAAATGTATTAATTTATTAGTAAATTATAATTTTGGAAAAGTATGTGATTTTGTTTTATTTATTTATTGTATGTTTATTTGGGAATAAATTAATTTATTATTAGAAAGTGAATGTTTGCATAGAATTTTGAGCAATAACTCTATACCCAAATTTCATAACAAAACAATAGAATAGATGAATGAATTTTTTATTTAAATTTATTTTTGGAAAATAAATTTTTATCCCGTATGCCTCCGCATATACCTACTTATAGACTGTGCTGGATGAATGTACAGGTGCCTGGGGTATAAAAGTGGAACGTGTGGAGATGTGAGTTACTATTTTTTATTATATTATTTTTCTCTCTATAAAGACTTATTTGGATGGAGTGACCGATGTTTGGGGTATCAAAGTAGAGAGAGTAGAGATGTGAGTCCATCAATATATCATTGCTTTTCATTTACATTACTGTACAGTATATGCTATATAATATATGTACACAATTATTGTGCCATCGGTTCACATTAATTCTATTCATTCTCTCACTAACCAGCAAAGGGTTACACATGTTGGCCGCACAACATGTTTTAATGATGAAATTTTGTTAGATTAGGTCACATAATCAAACTAAATATAAATATCTTGAGCTGATAGCCAAAATCACTGAGATATGGCCATTAATTACGCTCATACGGCGTATAGCATTGAAAAATGGTGTTTCACTAGTGTTACCAAAAGCTCCCGGTTGCCCGGGAGTCTTCCGAATCAAGGTCCGACTCCCGGCGGGGGTCTCACCTTGATATGGGGCGCTCTCGGAATTGCATGATGATGAATACACTGATACAAATTACACTTTTTACTAAAAACCTGCTATAAAAATGAATACTACAATTATTGAATTCACAATTATTGTTTCACTTAATTCACAATATTTGATTTTTTGAAACTCATATTGAGTATAGTAATTTTATATGAATAATGTCACAAATCATGTATATTTAAACGCTATTTCGAGGTTTGACTGATTATTTTGATAATTATTAGTTGTTAATGACATTTTAGCACTATTTTGCCACTTTAAGGAAAAAATCAATGAATTCTTTAGAAAAGGAATCTCCCGGAAAATTTTGTTAAAAATGAATATATCAAGGAATACGAAATATGATCTGGCAACACTATGTTTCACACAATGCTTGGGCCAATCACCAGTACTGCATTGCTATAAGCTGTATGAGCGCGATCACTAAAATAGCCACATCTATGGGTTTTAGCTATCAGTCCGAGATATAAAAAATTCTTTATCTAAAAATAATTCTTTATATGACAGAGTTTCTACATTCGAATATATTCGGTGTCTAACATGTGTTACCCTTTGCTGATAAATATTTATGCCATGAATGGCTTATCATTTATAATCCACTCAACATTTATCAATTTATGTTTCGTTTTTGTATAAAAGAATGTATAAAACTTAATCAGTAATAGCATTGCATTCAATTAACCCTTTATTTTCAATTGTCAATTTGTTTGCTGATTCAATGCTATGATTTAATTGATTTAATGCTATGAGCAAACGTACACTACAAAACATTTGTATTTGCAAGTAGTTTACTATTAAACTCAATGGAAAGCGTAACAAAAGCATTTGCATAAAAGTTAATAAATAGAATAATTATAATTAGAGTTGTCGATTTTAAAAAATATTTAACCAAGATGTATGTCCATATGTTGGCTATAGTTTCCAAAAATAATATGGTTAATTTTGACCACGAGTGCCGATCGCCACCGCTCCGTAAATAGCGTTAAAGTGAATGCATCGGTTGGTTTGGGGATCTGGTTGGCCAGTGATTATCATGAAGGTGTATAGCATTGAATTTATACATCTGATATCTAGTTATCATATAAAATAATGATTAATGATTTCCCGCCACACACTGTCCACTTACAGACTTATAATCAACATCACATTTCCCGTAATGCTTTTCAATACGGGTTTTGGGGTGCCGTTCAGTGCAAATACAAAAGTTTTGTAGTGTATGTAAAAACGAAGCACAAATTGGAAATTCATGAATCATATACAGTATATTCATTCATAATGATAACATAATGTTTATTTTAAAACTTGGTTTTAATTTATTAGCAAAATTAATGACAGTAACTGTCAAATCTTAGATTTTACTATTTTTATAATTATTACAAAATGATGTCAAGCAATAGATCAATTTACCTCAATTATATACCCCTTTATACACCGCTTAATTCAATGGGAATAAACATTGCCATTAAACTGTTCCAAAAAATTGTTTCTCTTGTACGGCCAATGTTTGCTGTATTGAGTAGCGTTGCTAAACATACAGGAATTTTCTTATTATACAGGAATTTGCACATATTACAAGAAGAAACTTACTTATACATTAAATAATACAGGAATAAATATTTTGAAAATAACCTGTAATACAGGAAAATACAGGAATTTTTGAAAATTTTCTCACATTTATACAGGAATTTAAAAATATTATTTGGCAACGCTAGTGTTGAGGCCAAAGAGTGCAAAAGTTGCTTTTCCATCACTCCCTACACTATAGTTTCAGTACATAAATACTTTTTAAAATATTATTAAATTGGTATATCAAGTTTTGTTGTTATCTTAATAATTAAAATAGCTTACTAGATACATATAAAAATATAAATATTAACAGTTTCCAGATTTATTTAAAATAAGTATTTGTTTACTGACATAGTGTATGACTCATACAGTATGAGTAAATTGACCAAAAAGTATTATTTGTGAAAAAGCACTTCTCCTGCTGATCACTGCCCAACATTAGCGGCAAAGCAATGCGGTTTCAAATATTACAACATTAGTAAATAATCATATGGATTTCTACAATCACATAATTTACATTAACTATTGTATTGTCATTTATAGTGTATGTTGCATTAATTACTAAAAATTTAATCTATAATGTAATAACAATAATATTTGGACAAACTTTTTTATTTTCAACTTAAATACATAACAAATATAGAATTTATAAAATAAAAAATAATATAAACGGAAAATATGTAGTATTATATATAGAAGAAGAAGAATATATATAACAAAATTTGTATGATAACAGTAAAGACGTTCGCCTACCCGTCCAATTACAACGCGCTATGGCAGCTGAGGCTGAAGCTGCCAGAGAGGCCAGGGCTAAGGTTAGTTCATATTATCTACATTTATAACAACATTGTATAATATTTGTTGATTTTGTTAAATGAGGCAAAAATTAATAAATGTTTTTAATGTATGATTAGGTGATTGCGGCCGAAGGCGAGCAGAAGTCCGCCCGCGCTCTTAAAGAAGCGGCTGAAGTAATAGCTCAAAGTCCGGCTGCACTTCAATTGAGATATTTGCAGACTCTCAACACTATCTCTGCTGAAAAGAATTCAACCATTATTTTCCCACTTCCTATCGATTTCCTCAGCCATTTCATTAGAAAAGGTTGAATTCCCTACACTTTCCCCACACAACTCTAATTTAATCTGTCCATTTGTCTATCAATCTCTCTCTCTCTCTCTCTTTCTCTCGTACGGCCAATGTTTGCTGTATTGAGTAGCGTTGCTAAACATACAGGAATTTTCTTATTATACAGGAATTTGCACATATTACAAGAAGAAACTTACTTATATTCTCTCTCTCTCTCTCTCTTTCTCTCTCTCTCTCTCATATGTTTTTACTCTCATTACTTTGAAACTCACACTTGGTTTTTATGGCAAATAGTTTTAAAAGCAAAATTCAATATATTGTTATAAACCGGTAAATAACTCATTGAAAGTATATTGTATATGAGATAATATCAATGATATTATATAATATATAAGTAGTAAATATAAGTTAATTGATTTTTATGTTAATTTGTAATTCACGCATTTAATAATTTATTTTTTGCAAATTATTTCATATAATTTTGTATTTTTACAATTTTTATTTGATAAAATTAATTTAACGTAATTAGATTTTATTTTAATAATTTAATTTATAGCTTATATAAAATATTTTAAAATGTTTTTCTTATACAGTAGAATTAATTACATTATGTTATTTTATTATTAATTTAATTATTTATTTATTTAACGTTATTAATTTATAAATGCAAAATAAAGATTTATTAATAGCATAATTATAATACGCTTCATTATATGCTTTGTACAGTATATACTTATAGTGTATTCGTATTAAACAATATGCCTTCTGTAAATGTGATTGTAACAATTTGTTATATTCATTTATTTTATTTAATCTACTTTAATTTTAATATATTTTTAATGCAAATGCACATCAAATTATATGTTAATATTAAAATGTATTTTATGAAACATTTAATTCAAAATAAATTTGCAATTATTTAAATTTGTTATTTTAAAACAGAGACTAATATTTACAAACAACCACTACATGACTGTTATGAATGTTAATTATTTTGTAACTAATCTGTAATTATTTTACAAAATATTAACATTAAATATACACATTTAAAATGTATATTATTTATTTATTTCAAACTAACTCGTAAGTAAAAAGTAGTAGAGAGATATTTTATATAATAAGTGACACTGTGACAGCATATCCTTGTTATTTGTATTACTGAAGTATAAAGAAGCTAGCTCATCCATTTATGTTACTGTAGGCAGATTGGTCATTTGATCTGATAATAATAGCGCCCAATCAGACCCTTGTATTTCTGTCCATTTGCCTCTCGGATATTGGGTTTGGACATCAGTAATGAACACTTTTATTAGAAATGTTAGAAAAATTTAAAATCTTTAATGCATTTCCCGAATAGTGGTTAACGTATAGCATCGCTGTGTAAGTTGTTTATGACAATAATTTTATTTTGAGTTGTAATTAAAATTAACAAAACAATTAGTTATTCTCAATTAGTTATTCTCAGTAGATAAACATAAAATATTTATATTCTATTAAAATATACAGTATATTGTATATAAAAATGTGGTATGTACAAATTTAAATTATTTAACTTTATATCAATAGATAGACTAAAAATAGCTGCCTTTTATATATTGATACAAATGAAAGATCATTAGTTTATTTTTAATTAAATATAATGTAAATTATGTGACAAATGTATAAAAATAATTTAACATTTAACAAAATTTTAAAAACAAATAATAGTTAAAATTAAGCGAACCGTTATTTAAAAAAATACTAATTAATATGTTTAATTTAAATTATACTACCAATTAAGTTTTCCAATTAAATATTATTATAATTATTTTAAAAACCAACATTATTTTTAATTATAAATATAATTTTTGAATATATTTGAATAACAAAAATATTTGATTTTAAATAAATGATTTAAACATTTCAACAATTTCTACAAAATTATATGTTAGTGATTTATAACTTTAAATTTATATTTTTACTATTTACCTATGAGCAAGAGTGTTTAAAATTTACGCCTAAGCGTAAATCCTATGGTTATGCATAGTGTAGAACTATAAGTTTAAACACTCTTGCTTATAAGTAATAACACATGTAAACAATATAAAGACAACTTCATAATATGTTACAAGACATGAAATAGTTAATTATAATGTAAGATCTAATCGTTTGACATAATATGTACATATTATGTACATTTATTGACCAATACAGAATTTATCTAAAATTCATCGAATTCATCAAGAATTAATCGAAATTATCTATACCAGGTATATTCGTTTATAGAAAATTGTGTTCTACAGATTATAACTTTGTAACTTTGAAACTTTGCAACAGGTTGTATATGAATAACAACTTTAAAAATTAACAAGATTATTTTTAATTTGCCTATACTTATGGAGGATTAACGACTAATCGTAAGATCAAATATTGAATATTATTTCTAAATGAAAAATATAATTATAAATTAGTAATAATTATTAATTAAGTTATGACTCTATCATCGCTTCCAATCGTAGACATCCTTTTCTGATACAGATTTTGTTTCTTCTTTTTCGCCTACACTTGTTGTGCGGTCGAGAGTCCGCCTTATCTGCGCTAACCGGCCATAAGCTGTTGACCGGCCATAGCTTGACATATATCTCGAAGAAGTGTACGCGTCTGAAGGAGTGGCCAAACTTAACGCATCGATATCTGGAGAATAGGGGCGATGCGAGGCTTCCAGAAGTGGTGATACATGTGTTGCTCTGGGAATATATGGGAAGGATTGGCGACCAGAAGTTGTCGGTCGGTCTGTCGGGTGGTCTGTGGGTTGGCTTTGCGAGTATATATAACTCTGTGATCGTTGGTCGGAGTGTTGATATGCTGTGAGTGAGTGCTGTGGGAATCTAATGGATTCAGATCTGGCAAATGTGACGTCTTCTTCAGTTAGTGATCGCACATCAAAGATAGAACTCGAACGCGACGCTCGACGTGACCTGACATGCAATCAATCAAATTCATTAGCAATTGAATGTGACAAATATTTTGCATAACACCATATGTGCAACATTTCAAGACCAATGAATTACATAATAAAAATTGTTTTGACTTTTAAAACAATTTGACTGTCCCTATCGGAGTGGACCCTTAAATTAAGGGCCTTAATGTAATTATCTTACATTACGTACAGTAAATCAATTGGAACAGCGAACACTATAGGGTCCACTCCAATAGGGACCAGTCTGTAGTGTGTAATGTAACTAATGAAAAATTAATTCAAATACTGTATTTGTTTTCTACTAAATATTCCAACTATTTTGTCATGTTTGAATCATAAACTTTTTGCATAAACAATCAAATTGCATTACAAATAAACTAAAACCAATATTCTCTCTACCAAGATAAATGTTTAAAATTTACTAATTTAAAAAATAAATTATTAGATTTAAAATAATAATATTAATATTGATATCATTGATGAATTATAATATTTTACAAAATTCTGTAAATAACTGTAAACAATAAAATAATTTATTGTAATATATTACTACATACTGTATGTATACTGTATAATATACAGTGTATACTGTGGGTCCTAAAAGATAGTGATATTCTAGAGTGTATTCATATATTATTAAAGTATGTAAATAAATGTTTAGTTACCTTATACTTTCTGGTGGTATGAATGATTCGGGAACCAACTGTTCGCTACTAATTAAAGGTAACGAAGTTTTTCTTCTATATCTATTGGTTGGAGGGGGTTGTGGTGGTTGTGAAGGTTGTGGGGGCTGTAATGGCTGTAATGGCTGCTGTGGTGGCAGTTTAGGTGCTGATAACACTTCAGGTAATGAGAAGAGTTGAACAATTGTGTGCCAAACCGGGGGCTCAAAGAGACTACTATAATGAATATGACGACTGATGTGAATATACTTTTCGGTAGTGTTGGACTCAATGATCAAAGTTCTGAACACTTCATCAGTGGTTATAATTGAACGTAACTTTTGTTTGACAGCAGGAGAAAGAGTGTCCACTCCCGGCAGATCAGGTGGCGGTGCGTTCAACACTTTGTATATCATATCGATCTTTGTTTCCCGACTACTTATGTGTTGAATGGAAGTACTGGTCCTTTGATCGGTTGTGTCGACCAATCGATCAGAAGTATACGAGTCGTAGAGTTGTGAAGTAGTTGTAGTGGTTTTTGTATCGGGAAGTTCAGTGGTGGGTCCCACCAGATACCTATTGATTTGCACCTCCCAATCAGGGCCCGGTCCGAGTCTGGGTTGGCTCGGAGGTTGGGAGACAAACGTGTCTTTTTTGTCATTGGCAGTGATGTGTTCAATAGTTTCCGTTTCACATATATTTGTGATAAACGTGTCGTCAATTGTGTGGACCGTATACTTAGGTGTCGGGTGTTTAATAAGTTGTCGCGTGGATGTGTCCGTTATTTCTGTTGTCTCCCTCATGTTTATAAAGCGATCATCTTGTGTGAGATCAGTGATTGCCGGCCCTTTCGGGGGCAGTGCTATAGCCCTCGTAGTGGACGTGTCCTCCAATACTTCGGTCGTTTCCCTATCAGTCCTAAAATAATCATCGAGTGTTTGTGTGGTTAGTCTAGGCTTTGGATAAGTAGTTATCCGTTGTGTTGTTGTGTCCTCTGTTATGTCAGTTATCTCTTGAGGGCTCACATAATAATCTTCCGTAGATTTGATTGTAATTTTTGGCTTCGGATAAACTGTAAGTCGTTTAGTAGTAATGTCTTCAGACGTATCAACAACTTCTTCAGGACTCAGATATAAATCATATGTTGTTTTGGAAGTGATTTTGGGATTTGGTTGTGTTATCCGTCGATGAGTAGTAATGTCTTCATCAATATCTGTGATGTGTTGAGTTGACACATAACTGTCATCAATGTTCCTAACGTGTAACTTAGGGGGCGGTATATACGGGCGCTGCTCTGGTGTATCGTCTAATTCACTATAAGACCACATGTCGTTATCAGGTATACTGCCATAAATGGAAGAGGCTGTAGGTGTGGGCGCTTTCCTATATAACTGTGTCGTTGTTTTGAAATGTTTTGTATTAAAGATATCGGTGTCCGTCAAGTGTTGAGTTTCCCGAATGGTTGTCAACAAATCTAATTGAGTTATGTTTGGTTTAGCCATAACAGGCACAGGCAGTGATGTGACCGAGTCTTCGCGTTCAATATCCAGAGGATAGGGTTCCGGTATAAACGCCTGGTTCTCATAATTATAGTGATCACGTCTTATGGTTGACGTATCACTGATTACACTAATCTCTTCCGAAGAGGACGGGTAGTCTGAGCTGCTGGTGCTGACAGCTACTCTTGGTATACGAACTGGTTCAATTGTGGTAATCTTGCTCATTTCTGGCACAATCTTTCGTTTACGAACCACTTTAATGTTTCTCCTCTTAAGACAATAGTAAGCCATTCCTATTCCCAGTAATAATAATGTGAGGAATAAGAGTGCGCTTATGATTAATAAAAGTTCGCTTTCCGATAATTTGGCCGGAATTGGAAGTATGGGAACCGGTGGCGGCTCTAAGCTGTTAATCAAGCAATCATTGCAAATATTAAATCACATCATTTGTATGAACTAATAATCTATGTAATATTGCATTGTATATGTGTCATAGGAAATAATGAAAAATCTCACTCCATACATTAAACTCAAGCTAACTGTTATACTCATTATATAATTAGCAGGACTAACAGAAAAGGGCTAATTCTTAATGATGTTCATTTTCTCAAAGTACTATAATAATTATCATAACAATTTTATGTGTTTATCATTATTTGAATGGTGAATGTTTGACCTTTCATCGACTAAATCATAATTTTGGTGTTTGTATATTAAATGAATCATCAAGTGTTATTATTAGCACGAATAAATTGTGTCCTTATATTCTCGTATGTTACATTTTTGCTCAAATGATATTTTGGATCATATACAAACTAATAGTAATTATAAGATTCTGTAATAGATTTGGGTTTAATGTAATGTTTAAACAAATGTATTTTCTGTCACAAAAATGTCTTAAGACACAAAAAAGCCAATAATAGAACCGAAAATATAATTTACAAGAATACAAGCAAATAATAATAATTTAATTAAGATATTCACAAAGCACTCTCAAAAATGTACTTTATATAAATTACAACCAAATTAAATGACCTAACACTTTAGCATTATTTGTATAGTATTGTTATGTGACATTGTTAGATTGTTAGATATTGTAATATTGTTATATAACATACATTGGAGCTGAAATACTAGGAGGTGGGGGTGCGAGTGGTGGTGGATATCTGCACACTATTGTTTTGATCTCATCTTCTTCGAGCTCAAGGGTTCGGTGAAATCGAAGGATTATATTATTAATGAAAAGTCGTGGCGCCTCCTATTCGGCCAATCAATGCATTCATTGAATTAATGTTTGAATTGAATATTTGATTTGAATACTAAACCTGTTTAGTTCCGCAACCCTTTAAGGGTAGTCTCATCTGATAGTGAGTGGATCCGTCGCCATAGAACTTGCACGGACTCGTCCGGTCGTAATCCGAATATCCTATTCCTCGAAAAGGTTCTGTGAAATTGATTTTGACAATCATTTCTCCGGATTCACACGACAGATACGCCCGACTCTTGTTAGTGACAATCTCTGAGTTGAGCTGATCAGTGGCCGCCAGTTTCACCACATTCTCAGTTATCCGGCGCTCAATCTCTTCCGCCTCCTCATCACTTACAACAACGTTTGTATTGCTTTTAATCGCTTCACTCGTCACTAAACCACTCTAAAAATGTTTTTTTAATATATTTAACTTTAATTAAAGGGGACAACTAATATCATATTGATGTGTAATTTTGTGTAAATTACAGTTGTCTACATTGTGCATAGTTACATTTGCGACAACAATACGTAAAGTAACAACATGAAAACTAATAGCAAAATATGATAGTTTTATTTAAAAGTGACACATAAATGACACATGTATTCATCAAAGTTCATAACATTAAAAAATTAATACAAAATTTTAAGAAAATTATGTAAAATTGTTTCCTAACACTTACATTATTAATAATATGTAAATATTAAATGTATTTACAAATACAGTTTGGATAGTATTTTCATTAAGATTATAAAAATGTCTTCTCTTATAGAACTTCTAGTAAATTCTGGTTTAGAATCTAAACCTAGAATGAACGGGCGCTTCAACTATAGCTATAATGTAATGCTAGGAGTTTTATACAACATTAAGCGGTTATAATGTAAAGTTTATTATTTTAACTTATTATATTAAATATTCAGCTCACATAGAAAATCAATACAAATAGAATAGCAATTAATACTGATTTTGAGTTTTAATAATTTTAATTAAAAATTAAAAGGTAAAAATGAATTTTGGAATAAGTTTAAGCTTTTTTGTCATTAACTATGAATTACAATGAATAGAAAATTGTTTGTTTCATATATTAAAACATTTTTCCACATTATCTATTTATTACAACTAATTACTGGCCAATTGGTGGCCAATATATCAAATAAACATTAATTAAACTATAGTTTGGAGCGAATAAAGCAATCTGAATATGAAAACAAATAAAGTTTTATATAATATGAAATATTTTCACAAATGTTAATTTACGTAAATGTCGTACGAATGAAGACATGAAATGTTTTCTTAGCATTAAATGATTATCGATAAAAAACATATTTAAAAACTATTAATAATATACTCACCAAATATATGAAAATAAATGATAAACCAATGATTATATGTCCGTCCATTATATGGTTGGTATTAATTGAATGTAAAAGTATTGGTTTGTAATAATAATAACACATATAATACTAAAATAGAAAACACTTTTAATTGAAACGAAATATTTAGAAAGTTTTTCATTTCAATTAAATGTATGACAAGTATTATAGGATTCTTACGCCTAAATACATAAATAACTTATTATTACTTTTATAGACATTGAGGTCGGCATACAATCCACAAGACATATAAGACATTCAGTGCTCCCAATTTGGCCATAACTACGCACTTGAAGGGCCGACACATACGACAGCCTTGTGTTCACCAAAACAACACTTACTATCACTTCACTGCCTCTTCTCATCACGTAATACATGAATGCATGGCATAAATCCCAGCAATACTAACAATACCATCAACTCTCCCCCACTTTCTACCCTCCCTCACTCCCTCAATCCCACTCTCTCTCTCTCTCTCTCTCTCTCTCTTTCTCTCTCTC